GAGTGCTCCTACTGGAATGTGGTTTAGTTCCATTTAGAGCTAACAGTTTGTCACCTGACTGTAGCTGTTTGAAAGAGAGGGCCCTAGTAGGTGTGCTAAAGCCCTGAAGTATGTTTACAACTTCCAGTTAGATAAAATTATGGAAGCAAGCTGGAGACACTAAGAGAAGGAGGATGGGAAAGCAAAAAGGCAAAGGGTCACAACAGTTGATGCCTCTATTCTTCCTGCCATATGATAGAAATAATTCAAAGAAAAATTATGTTCAGTGGATTTGAGAGAAAAAGTCAAAGTTACGAAAACAGCCTGAATAACTTTCCTTAACAAATGTTACTGATGCTTTACATCACCAAAAAGATTAGGTATTCTGTTACATAATACAGGATTATATCCTGCAAAACATGTACCAAGCCTCAATCTACACTAGGGGAGCTTCAGGAAGAGGCTTCCCAAGGATGTGGTGGGTGGAGTCACCACCCCCAGAGGTGTTCTGAAAAACTGGATGTGGCATGCTCTAGTTGACAAGGTGATGATCAGTCAAAGGTTGGATTTGATGATCTTGGAGGTCTTTTCTAACCTAAATTATTCTATAATTCTATGTTGAATCCTACTATCAGAAATTGAAAATGTTATATTAGTTTATTCATTATAGAGAAATATATGTTCCCTTCTTGGCCAAGGGGAATCCTATTTACTCAGTGTGTTATAGAAAACTTCATTTCTCTCACGGTCATTGACAAACTACAGTGTAGCAAACTATTAATATATGCTGGAAAATTTCAGTAGGCTTTTGGAAAACATTATGTTGACCTGTAAGGCTTACCTTTGAGAAAAGCATACTCTACATATTTCAGAAAGCAGTGTTGCAAACAGCTTTTGTTCCACTAACAGATGAATGAAAAAACCTAACAGGGGACTATATCTTTATGGTAATTGGATATTTCAAAATACAAAATTAGCCTGTTTTGATACTGTCCATATATTTCTTCGCTAACCCATAGCACTTAACTGTTCAAAACCACAAACTGCTTTGAACTATGATTTAAAGAGGAAGTCAAAGCTGTCAGAGACTTTATTTTGGAGGTGTATCAGGATCAGAATCCAGACAAGATTATCTTTCCCGCTTATGCCTCAGACAGAAAATACTCATTTTGTCTTTGCTGTTGTCAAGTCAAGTAAACCTGAGGGAATTTGACCTGTTTTAAAGAAAAACATGGTTGCAGCCACAAAGTGTGGGTTGCTCATAACACAGCCTGTGTTGATTTAAAAAAGGGCATCTTCTAAAATACCATTTACGGAAATTGAAGGGGGATTTATATTTACTGAAGAAATATGGACTAAAAGAGTCTTAAAGAATTTATTTTGAAGTTTAGTTTTCATAAGTTGTACATTTAGTACATAAATCCCATCTGAGTTCATACATCCCATCTAATTTTTGCCAGTGAGTTATTTTTTGACAGCTATATAATCAAGTGTATTTAGAAGAATGTACAAAGCTACATTGCTGTCCAGTTGGTACTTTCTTCAGATTTTTTTTTAAATTTAGCTTTTACAATCATAGCTTATAAAATTTGGAACAGTATTGACTTTAAAAGTAAAAAGTTAGATTTTTTCAGGGTGCTAGCTAGATATTTTTAGATTCTTGTTCTGAACAATGCAGTTGAAAGACTAGGGTAAGTCTATTATGTTTTACAGAAGTAGCTCTCTGTAGTCTTCATAGATTAAGTCCTTGGATGTTCTAATAGTAATTACAAAATATTAATTACTGGTGACTTCTTCATATCACTACCTTTTTGTTCAAATGCTTTACAGTAATACTTTTCTCAAAGAGCAAGGCACTTAACAAATCTTCCCAGCATTCACTGCCATGGGAGCTTAAAGACTATCCACAGATACTTGTGATCATCTAGGCCTTAAATTCCTCCAAGTAACTAACATAACCTGCCTTTTGCACGTTGCATTTCCCCTGCTATTAAGCCTCATGGGTAGTTCTCCATGGCTTAGAGAGCAGTAATGGTCATTGTTTAGGGTATTTCCAGCCATTTTCCTACCTCCTACACTTTTTGTCCAACTACAAACCCCTCCACTAAAGATGGCAACCCCACTAATAGCACAGTCTGTTCTCCTTCATTGGGTCAACAATTCTCAGACAAAATAATAAAGACATGAAGGTGATTTTGAAAGCTGTTCTTACCATGCAAAACTTGGAGGTTACTGGTACTTATTAGCTTGCCCAGCAACACTGGTGAAGACAGCATGCTGGTACAACAGCCTCGTAATAGCAGTAATTAACCTCAAAAGATGTGCCGAGTTTCTCCTATACTTAAGTACATCAAAATGCCATTTTTCTAAGGGAAAATAATATAGCAATAGCTTTTACTAAAATAATAATTTCTGTGCAGCACAGAAAAACAAAATAAGTTCTACTGACTTTTCAGTTTGAGTAGTGTTCTTGTGTATGCTGCCAGGTGATAGCTCTCACAGCTCAGTCCTGGGAAAAGCACACCCTGACCTTTCCCTGCTCATAAAAGATGTTTGCAGTTTCACATATTAAACAACACAGATCTCTTTTTTTCCAGAAGTACAGAAAAAGTAGTGTTTCCAGAAGAAAACAGTCTGTAATGTTTGACTAATCTGCTTTTTTTTTGTTGTTGGAAAAAGAGGAGAAGCCCCTTCTTAATAATGCTTTTATGTTTTTAAGGAAGTGAAGGACACTGACCTATAACACTGCATCCACACTAGTGAATGGCGGTTCCCTATGCTGAGGGAACAGTGAAGAGCACCCTGGGATGAGGTACAGGACACAGAGCCACTTGCAGAATGAGAGGCAGCCAAGGTGGGGAGGCAGAAAGCACAGAATACAACAGCCCATCTGTGTGAACATCATCCATGTTCCCAACATGTAATCTGAACCCTCCTTTAGAAGTACTGATGTCACGCTAAGTCCTCAAACACACTGTCCAAATTAACCATTGTTGCTTAGAGAATAATTCAAAAGCAATTCTTGCCATAAGATCTATAGATAATGGAACTTACTTAAAAAATTCAAGTCACATGAAAAGACATCAATGAAATACTTTTCTAGGGCAGCAGATTTATTGGGATAACGCATATAAAATGCCCAAAAGCCTGGACTGCTTTATCCAGTTTTGAGCCCCCTGGGACTTCCAGAAAAATATGTTTAAACTCTTAGAGGTTGTCTCTGAGAGTCAAGATTTGCTGTGAATGTGAGTAGGACATTTGCACCAGGAATGTGGGAGCCTGGCTTTGCTGGAGTATGAATTTTGCAGATGTTGAAAATGCTACCATTGCAGGACCCATCAGCACAAGTTTGCTTTATTGTCACATCTCACAACCAACAATCAGAAGCTTACATAAAGGCATTTACCAAGACAAACCTCTGCAAATAGTTCTCAATCTGCTTGATGCAACAAGGAGTGAACATGTACAAAGATATAAAACATACAACCAGCAAAAAAAAAGGTCAATTTTTCCCCTGTTTTGCGTATTAGTGTCCTACCTCATCATGCCTGTTCTGGCAGCCACATGTGTCAGCCTTTGCTGTACCATGCATGACAAGTTAAAACAACAAATACACTCTTCCCTTGAGGTATATCAAGAATATTTAGAATTCTTGTTCCAGATTTGCCATGAAGACAATCAAATCCAAATTACAAAATCTTGGGTGTGTGGTCAGTGAACCTTAGATTCTTTCAGTCATAAAAACAAAAATTGTGACCAAGATCATTATTGCACAGATTAGATAAAGCTTTGTCTCTGAGTTGATGCATAGATGCACTTGCATATACAGGGCAGAAAATTCCCAAGTCTGCAGGTAGGAGCAATTTTGTAAAACACTAAAGATAACAAATAGCTAGTGGCACACATACACAATCTTTATGATGAGGGGAAAAAAAAAAAAAAAAACTGAAAAGAGGATTTCACAAATATTGGGTTATTCTAAGCACGAGTACAGGCTCAGTAGAAAATGCATTGAGAACACCCCTGAATAGGACTTGAGGTGCTGAAGGATGAGAAGGTGGAAGAAGACCCAGCCAACTGCACTTGCAGCCCAGAAATCCAAAAGTATCCTGGGCTGCATCCAAAGCAGTGTAGCCAGCAGGGGTGGGGAGGGGATTCTGCCCCTCTATTCCAGTTTCATGAGAGTGCACCTGGAGTGCTGTGCCAGATCTGTGGCTCTGAATAGAAGACACAGGCCTGATGGAGATGGTCTGGAGGAAGACCAGGAAGATGGTGTGAGGGCTGGAGCAGCTCTTTTACGAAGACAGAGTTCGGGAGATTAAGTCTGGGAAGGCAAGATTCTGGGGAGATGATGTAGCAGCCTCATGTACCAAAAAGGGGCCTACAAGAAAGCTCGGAAAAAACTTTTGACAAGAGCACGTAGCAACAGGACAAGAGGGAAAAGCGTCAGACTAAGAGAAGTCTGAAGGTTTAGATTAAGGTATCAGGAAGAAATTCTTTCCTGTGAGGATGGTGAATCACTGCAATAGGTTGCCCCAGGAAGTTGTGCATGCCCCATTTCTGAGGCTGTTCAAGGCTAGGTTAGATGGGGCTCTGAGCAGCCTGCAAGTGTCCCAGCCCACAGCAGGGGGACTGGAATTAGGTCATCTGTAATGTCCCTTTCAACCCAAATCATTCCATTATTCTATCATCTGGCAACATCATTATGTCTTTTGCAGTACAGCAACAGAAGGAAAAAAACCAACAAAAATGAACAGCCAAAAAAACCCCACACCTCAAAAAAAATTTTAAAAGAAACTTATACATGTTACTCCAGTTACTAAAAACTTGTCTTAAAACAATAAACCAAAGGTAAATTCTAAAATCCATAGTTCTCTTTTCCTGAGATGGCTGCAAAAGAAGTTTGACTACGTGTTCTCAAAGACAGGATTTGACTTATGAATTTCTGAATAATGAATGGTATTACCTGTTAATTAAAGCAGTACATAAAGAAAGCAAGTAATAATCACACTTCAGTCCAATAAAATTCAGTTTCACTTTATTCAAGATTAAGAAGGGGGGGCAGGGTAGGTTGGAAACCAAGAGAGCCATGCCATGAAGCCATGCAGCTGAACAAAAAGGAAGTGCAACAATCAGACTTGCGAATGTTTCAGCAATTTCTTAGAGGTAATTGTAACACTTAGCAAACTGAGAACCCAAATGATATTTCTCAAATGTTGTAAGTTTACATAACAGTCATATAGAAGAGGAGCAGTTCTTCAGCATTTCAGTAAAGGTCAAGATACACTTTTAAACACCACAGTGGGCAGATCCAAACGCCTACATTTTAACGTTTATCGAGATCCCCTTTTCTAGTTGCATATACACTTTCAATAAAAATTAACATACCTATTCAGCCTTCTTGTTGAAAAAAATATGCATATTGCAATAAGAAATGAGGCACAGCAGAGTAGACATCTCATACAACCTGCAGTAATCAGGAAAAATGGCACAAGCACAAGTCTAAATACCTTTCTCTTCACCCTGGGGTAACACATAGTTAAAGGAGAAAACTGGCATTTGCCAAGAAATGGTAAAATTCTTTCATGACTATATGGAGAAAGCTTTATTAAAAAAACAAAGTCAAAAGACAAAAATTATGGACTAGGAAAGAGATCTATAGAAAAGCATATTTTCATTACATGTGGAAACCAAGGGACATGGAAGAGATGTCCCACATTGACTTGTGGATCCTGTCTTAAGGCCTTTAGCTAGAAGATCAAAATATTTTATTGTCTATAATAAAAATGCCATTCTGGGGGAATTGTTATGTTATCCAAAACATCAGCTGCTTAACCGCAAAAATATGCACCTTTAATAGAAATCCTTCAACATTAAGGGTTAATTTGCTTAAATACTACCAAAGAGCCAACTGAGATTTGAGAATCAGTTTTTTGGCAAAATGAATTCAAGAAATAATTAAAATAGAGGCTCTGTGGAGAGAACATATTTAGAATCAGGTAAATGGAAAAGGTATACACAAATGGGAATGTACAAAGTACACACACGATGCATTTTAAGTGAAATTTACAGCAGGTAGTCTGTAAATTCTGGGGACACAGAGGAGACCACACACTTTACCAAGAACATTATGAGGCTATTAAATGAACTATCATGCCTAAGACAGAAATGACAGATGAAAAACAAGAGACAGATAAAGAATGGTACTCAGTGCACTAAAAATGCAGGTGTTGTGTGGCTGCTACAGTGCACCTAAAACCACTACTTATCTAAGGCAAAGGATGGAAGTTTGGCATTATATAACCTGAGTTAATACTCTTGGTATGTACTTGGTATACAAAATTATTGGAGTAATACCATCAATGTAATAGTTTTGAATCCCCTTATAATATTTTGATTTCATTTACAGTTTATGGGGAAAATTGCAAGATTACCTGTATTTTGTAATCTGCTAAATGGTTACTCAACAGCACTGGCAAGACTTACAGCAAATTAAATATCTGCAAATATAGGTTATATGCTAGTTGTTTTAGATTTAAAATAACAGCACAATTTGGATACTTCAAGCATCACCAGCAATGTTAGAATTCTATCCTGTAGCTATAAATATTCCAAACTATTGTTTGAAAATCATATTTTGGCAGTAGGTGCTTTCTATATGTATAAGAAATTTTGAAGACTTTGCTATGGGAATTTATGGAAACCTTCATGTAACACTGTATTGTTTCATGTAGTTTTTGTATCAACTGCAGTAAACAGCCATTCAACAATACCATGACTACTACATCTAAGAAATAAACAGAATTGCAGACATTCAAGCTAATAAAATGCTGCTGTCTGGGTATGAAACAAAGAAGTTTCATTGGGTAAGAAAAGTTAATAAAAGCAACTGTGACATATTATATTTATTATTTAATATAAATTTGACTCCACTAGTCTTTCACTTAGCACACAATATTGTGTAATTCAAGGCATTTATATTTGGTATGCAACAGTGCACTTATAACCCCATAAACTCCTTCTTGAGTTGCAAGACTGTTACTAACTCTTGCTAACAAATAATAGGCTTTTATTAATATTTTTAGTGCAGAATTAATTCTCCCCAATATGCATTTTTGTAAACTGTTAAATTTTCTACAATAATTGACAGAGGTGCTGCAACATTTCCTTGAGTAGGATATAAAAAAAGTTTACACTAAAAGCAATACTGTACTATAAACTGTGACCTGGTCCATTCATTTAGAAAAAGCCCTAGTATTGTCAACTAAGCAGCCACCCATTACTTAAATTGAAATTCTCTGATTCCTTCTTATATTTTGAATTGTAAAACTAGTGATTATGTTAACATTTCTTTGACAGAGAAATTTGTATTTCAACACAGCCTCAAGTCACATTAAAACCAAAACATAAAGTAACTACTGACTATCACAATCAAATCAAAACTGCAAGATTTGCTCCAAATAATATCATAAGAATTATTCCAGAGTTCAATTTCAGTATCAAAGGTTAAGACAAACTCACTTATATATATAGTACATAATAAGCAGTATAATACTGCTTATATAAAAAATGAATTCTGAAATTCTTACATTAAAAAATCAAGCAAACCAAGACAAAACTTGGCAGATTTTTTTATGATTATGTAAATTTTAATCTAATATCATCTACTTTTCTGATATAGACTGTTGTGACCATAATAAATAATTGGATGAATCTTCCCTCCTTCCTGTTTTTGCTTTTGTTGATGACATTCAAACAGTTCTGCTTGTGAAAGAGGAATTAAAAGGCATCTGTTGAGTGTTCTTCATCTTGGTGCTTCTCCATTCATTACAATTTTGGCTGATTCTCACGTACTTCTTCTAGTTTGGAAAGGATCCACTGTGTGAAGAAAAAAAAAGCAAAAATTAAAATCTTTCTGTGGTACAAAACGGACAAAGCAGCTGAAAACTGGACTGTTTTTTGTCACTGTCTTTACTACCTGCTCTTTGCCTAACCAACTTTTAACACAGTGTTAAAAATTTTCCTGTAGCATATAAACGCCTGTCTTTCTAACATGAAAATGGAGCCATTTAAGCACCAATATTCCACATTAGATACCATGTTGCATTAAACTTGTTTCCTGGTCTGCACTTCAAGGAGTAGGATTTGAAAAAAAGAGAAGACAACATTTAACCCCCATCCTAGCTGTGCTTTCATCTACAGCTCTAGACAAATCACAGATGACAACAGAGAAGCGAGGATCACAACTGACAGAAGACAATAATAAGTTGCAGCAGTGTGATAGGTTATTTAGAAAATAAGATTTTTTAAACTGTATCTTGTTTCTTTTAAGGAATTTCATATTGGAATATTCACATAAAAGGGAAATCAGTTTCCCAAGAGTATTAAAAAAAAAAAAAAAAAAAAAAAAAAGGAGGTTTGGGGGAAAGGGCAGCGAGACTGAAATCTAGAGTAGGACATGAAGTAATATCAAGGGTCTGCCATAAAAGGTGTGCATATAGCTTTGAAGAAAGATGAGTGGATGATTACAAATCCGAATCTATTACTGTATCAGGTTCTATCCCCTCATATGAACATTTGTGTTGGTTTTGTGAGGCTCCTGGGCCTCTCTAGGAAAATAAACACCCCAATATTTTTGTGAAAGGTGTATTCATTATTTTTACCTTTCTTTTCCTTACCTAAGACTTGCGATATATGTAATATGATGTACTAATTTCACTTTTGGAATAGTTCCTGATTTAGCTGGGGCACAAATGGGATTCCTCTCCCAGAGAGACTAATGAACATCAGCACTGCCCACCCTTGCTCCACACAGCCAAAAAAAAACAAAACATAAAACCTCAGTAGCTCCAAAGATTACAGGCAAGTGAAATTTAGCACAGGGCCCTTAAATTCCTGAGGTATGAGTTAACTGGTGTCACTTACTTGTAACTAGAAACTACCCTCACAAAGACAAATGCAGCCTAAACTGATGAGAAGATGTAAAAGCAACTTAAACTAATGAGAATGCAACTTTTGCAAGCTGTCTCAAACCATGATCCCAGGGAACCACATCTCTCTGAAATATACACAAGACTCATTATTTTTTTTGGTGAAAATTACTAGCTACACTAGTTAAAAACAAAGCAGAACTTTGACAAGTAGCTACCTTCTGGTAGGAGATCTGAAATATTCCTACTGTCTGTTGCAGTCAAAACTAGTGATGTCAAAATTAATACGTTATATAGAAAATGTGTAACAATAGCAGCAATAGCATATATCACATAAACCACTAGTAGTTTTATTAAGGATTTCCTTCATTCTTCAAAAAAACCCAGTATTTTAAAGAACAGAGCAGTAACACTGAACACCTGCCCACCACCTGGAAAAAAAACTAGGAGTCATTTACAAATAATTTTGGTCTATTAAAATTCTAATTCATATTCTAGATTGATTAAACAGTAATGCTAACAAAAACGAAACAATCTTTTGTCAAACTACTGTAATTCAGAAGATGTATGTAGAGAAAAATCTGGTGTTGGAATTGACTATTTTTAAAATTCTGTACTGAGTAGATTATTGCTATTTCCATGTCTGTAATGGATATATGGAAATACTGAATATTAACTACACATAGTTTTGGGTTAAGAGTATTTCTGTTACATTTTTTAGCAGTAACTAAATTTTTAATTGTATTTTGTATTTGTATTTATTTTAATTGTAGTTAACTATATTTTTAATTGTGTTTTGACTTTACCTTAGCATCCTCTGGACTTCTAAAATTAATAATTTTTCCAAATTCTTTGGCATGGAAGACAGACTTAACTCGTTCCTAAAAAAAAAAAAACCAAAAAACGAAACAGTAATTCAAAATTGAAGTTAGTTACTTCAGACTTTAAGATTACAATGCTATTTACTATCAAGGCAGCTATAATGGTTCAAACAGCCACGTGTACCAATCATCTGAGTATGTTTGCATCACATGCACATACCCTGAGAGAGATCATTTTCTGCATGAAAGCACAGTAGGGTGAACAGTCCAGCAGTATAGACTCCCCTTTTTACCATGGAGTCCCTGTATAAGGGTGTATAAAACATGTGTAGGAATGGAAGGCAGATAATTTGCATGTGGTAACAAAATCCATTACTCCCCAAGGTTTTAATTTGTAATTCTCCTTCAAGTCACTACTTGAGTGGACATTCCACCAATACTGACTTGCAAGTAGCGGACATAGGTACTGAAAACAGAAACATAAGCTTCAGAAAGAAAAATGCAAGGAGTTATTTGCAAAACACGGTTTTCAACCATAGATTTCAATAAAGAGCATACTGCAGACATGTTAATGAATTCTGAAATGACTGCTGTGTAGGGGTAAAGATGGATATGTTATTCAGCATTGTCTGAAATGGCAGAAACGCTAAGAATTATTTCATCCTTTAAAAGTTCACTTGCATTCAGAAATCCAGTTTGGAGGATTCCAAACCAATATGGCTCTGCCTTTCATGCTCTCTGCAATAGAAACAAATAATCTGAGTGAAAAACTGATGCTGTACACCATCAAGACTGTCCTGATAACCAGTATGTGTAATTACACATGTGCAGCTTATTAAAAACAAAAACAAAATACCGGCAGAGAAACTTACTGAATGAAATTAAGTTCAGTTAACATATCAATAGAATTTAACATTTTTTGTCAAGAAATTGCCTCTGTAAATAGCCATTGGTGGTCATCTTTCTCCTCATGTCCTTTGCCAGCTTACCAGGGAAAATAACTTAAAGGATTCTTTTAAGGGAAAATTGCAACTAAGAGCAACATTCTTCAATTTGTATCGAGAGGGAAAATATATATGTCATTATGGTCAGTTTTGAAGACAATAAAACCTTATTATATGCCCCAGAGAGCATAATAAAAATATTCTGCAATCTTCTGAGCCTTTTTTTGAGCATTTTCCAGACTATGAATACACCACAAACTGGGGCATATAAACAAAAAATTCCTACACCTCAAGGAACAACCTCATCTGCAAAGAACAAATCACTATGCTGCTTAAAACAGAGACTAGTTATCTGAGGAGTTTACCTATGACAAGTTTCAACTCCTTTCTCTGAGTACCTCTCAAATACAAATGAGATCAAGAATTCAGAGGAGAGTGAGCAGAAATTTAAAGTTCAATTTCATAAACAGTAACACAAAAAGACAACAAAACATGGCAAGAGTAATGTACCTTGGCTTCAATGCGCAATCTTCGACCATCAACGATGAATGGTTCTTTGGTAAATTCATCATAAGTGTATTGCCATTCACATGTCAGCTGTCCAAATGCCCCTTTTGTCACAAATAACACACCACTAGGCACCAGAAAATAAAAGTAGTTTTAAAAATTAAGGTAAAAATATTTAGAAGTTATCATGCTACCCTTGCTCTAGTGAATTTATCTGTCATTGTAAAATAGGTTTCATCTCATGATCTCTAACTATACAGCACACTTTCCAAAAGAGTGAATTTTGAAACTTCCTCTAACATTTAAAATACTGTGTTTCATAGCAAAACTGTAACACTACTTCAAGCTGCATCTGAGAAGGATGCCTCATACTACACTGCTAGACATTGACTGTTCCTGTATTATCCTTTCTTTCCTTCAATACAACATCGTAAGTGAATCCCACAGTTCAGTTAATTTTGGCCCAACCCAGTGTATAACAAATCCTTCTTAGCTAAAGAAATCTTAAAATCAGTATTTCTTTCCCTTCTTAAATAGGGGAGAAATAACTGAAAACTCTCCTACTAAAAACAATGACACTGTAGAAGACTATTACCAGCACACTAGGCATGCCTTCCCCATTATTTTGTCTACATATATGGTGAGAGTGTAGGTACTGATCAGCAAATCATCAAGGCATGCACATTTTTATGATTATTTTAACTACGTATTATTTAGAGTCAAAACTGTTTACCTTTTTGTTACCATTAACAGATCTGTACTGTTGACCATAGCATGTGCAATATATCTGAGTTTTGCAAATCTTCCATTTTCAATTTTCTAAAAGAGAAAAAAGTTTTATGGCTTTGAATATGCTAGTAATGTAGCAATTTTATGCTTTGAAGTTATTTATGCTCCAAAAATATAAACTGTAGCAAAGCACAAAGCACAGGCCTTTAAATAAAAGGCTACTTTCATTAAGTCAGAATGTAACTAACATCTGTAATAGCTAATGTTCATAACGACTTGGTTGTTGTTAATACACCTACGTAAATAAAAATCAATCCTAACCAAAACTGACAAGGAATAATATAATTTCTCTAAAAATGTCAGGACTCAGTTTTCCACATACTTTTGGTATACACTGAACTTCTGCTAACACATTTCTGAGACAGCAAACAAAATAAAGATTCCTTTCCTATTTTCTCGCATTGCCTCCCAAACACTGACTAATTAACTCTGAGAATAAATCTATAGCTGGCTCTATATAAGCACCATTATCATGAAGACAGTGGGACTAACAATAATGCACTTGAGGTAGTACTTAGCATTCCTCTAAATTCTTTTGTTTACTCATGAACTAAGGCATTTCCTACAATTAATGTGAATATTTTTAATGAGCAATATATTTAAAATATTGATGACAGCAGATTAATGACTTTTTAGAAACAGAAGCCCTATACCTCTCACATGACTTGGTGACCACTGGATTTCTGACTTCCTGAGCAGTGAGTGATTAAACTAGTGGTCAAATTAGTATTGCTGCAGCTTGGCTGGGAATAGCCACAAAACTGCTTGCATGTTTCCCAGCTGTTACAACTTGGAAGCAACAGCAGATTAGAACAAACTACTGTGATTCAATAAAGTTTGAACTATAAACATATAGCTTCAAATATGTATGCCAAAATTTTAAAAAAATCTAGATTAGTTCTTAAAACAGTTAAGAAAGTAAAGCCATTTAATACATGTTCCCCAACACAGTAAAATGATGAAGACATTTAATTAGTGTAAAAAACTTTCAAATTTGAGTGTGTGGATAATTCTACTTGCACAAACAGACTTTTTAAAAATTATCTCTTCCCCAAAGATACTGATTCTTTCATGACTAAAATGCATGAAAATTTGAGTAGCAGGTTACCCTAAAGAAAGCTTTCCAAAAAGCTCTTAGAAAGTTCCAATTGTTTCTCTTCCACCATCTCTTTCAGGCTACACTGAAATTTATTTCTGCCTGAGCTAGTGTCAGGAGCAGGACGAATTATGCAAGAAGAATGGCCTAAGAAATTAGGAACAAAGGGCTCGGAAAATTAGCTTTTTTTTTTTTTTTTTAATTTTTGGAAACATCTTACTCAAGCTTCATCAAGGCATTGATCTGCCTCTGCAATGTGTCCCTGCCTCTTGTATTAGAAGCTTGGACCTAAATAAATAAACAACTGGAAAAAAAATCCCTAAAAAGTAGCCCCTACTACATTCCAGTACATAACATGCTGGATGGTTAGAAGAACATAGCATGCTGGGACGTAACATGTTGGATGGTTAGAAGACAAAGAAGCCTGTATGGACAGACTATGGACAGCGTGAATAGGCTACCTGACCCACAGGTCAGGCTACTAGTCTAGGTCTGTACACTGATGGCCTTTCATCAGTGGCCTAGAAAGAATGACAGGGAAATGGGAAAGGGTTGATAAGAACTTCAGAATAGGTAAAAAATACACTTCACTTAACTGCAAGACACTTTTTACAATGACACAAATTATTTTAACTGACCAAACATATAAATATCACACAGAATGACCAGTATCTCTGTTCTATTCAAAGTAAGTAGAAGTACAAGCATTTAGCAATTTAGCCATATCAGGATGGAGAAGATGTCCCATGTTGGAGAAAGTAACCTTCTTATGCTTTGCATAGCATAGAAGTCCCTTTCCTAAAGGGGTGTTACCTCTTTCTGTCTTCTGCTTAGCTTGCTAGGTAATTTTCAACTAGTCATGTCCCCCTGCTGTAACCTTCTCAGCTTACAGATAACAAATTGGGAATTGTGAAAATTACTACGGAAGTACAGTACTTAATTATCGCACATGCAACAACCTTAAACAAAAGCTACTTAAATATACACCAAATTCCACAAGTGTTTTATTCTGTAAGTTACCAAACATGTGATTTGTGGAGCACAAAAACATTGTTGGCATATGGCATACACTGAGATAGCTAACCCTCATTGTTAGCTATGAGTCAAAAATCATAAACTATCTGTGTTTATAGTTTTGTAGACAACAGGAGTTAATTGGGAAATAAAACACAAAGAAATGCTGCACAGGCTATTTAGAAAGGGAACAAACACTTGCTAATGCTAAGCAGTAACAACTTTTAAATTTTCTGCCTTTGGATTTTTCTACCTATAATTTCCAAACTTTATCCCTTTTAGCATTAGATTTCTACCTATTCATTAGGAAATATATCATAGAGGGAGACTGCTGACAATTCTTGAAACAAGATCACTATTGCACTCTGCTACCAAAGTCCCTTATACAACTCAAACATAAAACAATATATAACTAATTGATCACTAAATACAGAATAAATAGTTTTTAAAACTTTTATGGCATGTAGCTATTGTTTGGAGAAAGACAGCAACTTGGACCACTGTTTGGTGATGCTAAAATATGAATGGTAACATTAATCAGTCATTCTTTGTTCAATGTTAGTTTCAACATTGGAAGAAAACATACACATCTTTAAAATGCACTGTCTGTATTTCAAATCAAAAACATTTTATCACCTGATTAAGTATAAGCAAATCTATTAATAAAAGGCACTCCAGAAACTGTAAAGCAGCTTCAGAAGTAACACAAGAAGAAATCCCCTCCTTTGCAAATTCTTATCCGTAGTACAATTACTTAGATGTCACTGCAATAATCTAACAGTAAAAGTGATTGGCATATATATGCAAATATGCTCAATGTCTTAAAAGTGGTATCTCTGCACTTGGACAAATTTCTAATCACACCACATCCTCTTAACGTAATGAGAAGCAAGCTGAAAGGCCTTTGAAAAAGTTAGAAATGATACAGAGCAAAATTAAGTACTGGAGGCAAAAATTAAAATCTATGAATCTTCTGGTAATAGTTCTAACAAATACTAGTAGTATGTGTGATACTTAAGTCAGAATGTTTGACAACCTTCTTTGACAACTTGATATCTTTGACAACTCACTCAGATGAAACACTATGTAAGAGAATACTGAAATGGCTGTTACTGCATAAAAAAGTGGTTATAAATTGCTCTTCTTGCTTGATGCTCAAATTAACTTTCATCTGGACTACCAGCATATTTCCCTGTGCTGGTTACTGTCCAAATGTGTGAATTCTGAAGGCAATCCACTGTCGTTGCTACAACTCTAACCCTGAATGCATCTTGCAGCTCAAATTATAACATAACTTTTTCAAAAGCGGTAGAATTGCTAATTTCAGCAAGCTAACCTGGTATAATTACTTATCCAGTCTTCCCTACAGAAACATTGAATAGTTCTAAGCAGTTCCTAGGTGACTCCCTAGATGTAGCTTGAATGAGTGTGAAAAAAGGGGAAAAACTGTTAAAGAAAAAGTATCATGTAAAACATTCACTTTTCGCCATGCAAAATTCTTTTATCAATTATGAATAATAACCACCAATAATCCTTTATTACCTACTTCCTCATTTCAGTTATCCTAATGTGCAATGTCCATGATGTGTTAGCATCTGTATCCAGATTCCATTTAGCCATGCTGAACAGTAAGTCTGAAATCAACCTGGTTATATTAAAATCAGTGGGAATTTGTGGTTGTGGTTATAATTTAAATCTAAGGCCACAGCAAGACAATAAAAATTAGAACAGCAGCTTTCTTGAAGAATGTAAAACTTCTGCTTCACAGCAGAAATATAAATTGCTTATGCTGACTGGCAGAATTATCTTAATAAATTTTTGATCTGAATACACAGGAGAATTTGAGCAGCTGAAATGGAAAAACCATACTGATCTTCACTTTCATCATGATGACCACATCTAGGCGCTCTGTTTCCTGCCAATACAACCACAACTCTTGGATTCATACCATCTGAAGCATGATTACAGCGTCACAAAGGAAATTAAAGAATATTGTCTGCACGCTTCAGTCACAATCAAGTTAAAATGAAATTGGTAATGCAAGCTTCCATATTCCTCTGGAACAATTGGTGTCAGCTGGTTTCAGACAGCTTCCCATAACTGTCTCCTATTTTGGATTGGGCAATGGCTATGTAATAGTATCCAAATGTTGTATATTTAAGTGGTAAAGATCCTGCTTTTTCCTTCAACCTAGACAGACAAGGTTTTCTAAAGTAGGACAGATCATGACATCTGTGACTCAGTAAAGGGACCAGCAAACTAGATGGCATGCATGAATATGTGGTAAGTCTGGATAATGTGAAATAAAAATGAAGTTATTTTGAACATCATAAAGAACGTAATTTTGCAAAGTGAAACCTTAGTTTTAGTGTACTTCAGGATATGGATGTTTATGTTTTGATTTGAAACCAAACTCAAGAGCAGCGAGGGAAAGACAGCAAGGATTAGCATGACATACTTTTCCAACTCCTCAGATGTTCTTTCTGGCAGATCAGAGTGTGAATACTAAGGAAGAAGGGCCTGCTCAAATCACTTCAACATCCTACCTGATACGAAGCTCATGACCAAAAAGAGTCACTGAACCAAAAGCTGAACACCTCTAATACAAGATGATATGGTATTGAAGCACAGCTTTGAAGGACTGTCTTCTCTGAAGCAACATAATTGTGCAGCAACCTTATACAACACAGTATAAGCATCCTCACAAACTCACAAGTTATAAAAGAAAATGAAAAATAGTAACAAAAATATTTTGCATATGTTTTGAGGTTGGGTAGACTTTGACACAGAGAACCACTGACTGCATGGGACAACTGCTAATGATTTAGCTTCAAAAGCACAAAACCAGTGTTTTAGCAGGGCCAAGACCTCACTTGTCTGTTGCTTCTGGAAATTACTAATAACAATTTATGCATAAACA